TCTTTCTGAGGTAGACTGTTCAAGTTCAAGGACAAGTCTTTTTCTTACGAAATGCATGACATTCAAAAAAAGACAACAAATAAATACTACATGTACAATATGTAGCAATGAGGTAGAAATGGTTATAAAGAACAATGTTTGAATATATATCAGATGAAAAAAGAAAAAAAAAGAAATGAATATTCTTTAGCAACTGTATAAAATCCACAAGAAAACATCACACACACACACACACACACACACACACACACACACGAGAGAGGTGACTTAAGTTTTAAACCTCGAAATAAACTTTTGCTTTTTTTTTGTATCATAAAGCAACAAGAAAGAATGAATGTGCTCCCAACCTTGGTGTACTACAGAACCACTTTATAAATATTTAACATTCTATAGGACTGATTCATATATTCTCACACAACTCTGTGGCAAGGCTGACCCATGCTGCCGACATTCTACATATCACGGAGACAGGGAGGTGAGATTTTCCTGCTTTCAGTCTAATTGTCTTTGACAATTGCAGTGCCTAGTGCTACCCTGCTTGTGTAGTATTTAAAAACAAGGGAAAGAGGAGAGACTTGTTCATTAAAGATGCAGCATCCCTGGTTCACACAAATGCATCTGGCAGGTTCAAAATCGAATGTCAACCAGAGGTCTTAGCAGAGTGTGAGATTCAGTTCATGTGTTGGTTAGTCACAAGTGCAGCTGATTTTGAATTCTGAAATACTGATAGCTCCATGTTTGCTAATGTGCTTCCTAGGAAAACCAGCAGGTGACTCAACAACAAAAGCTTTACTTTTCAAAAGAAAAATAACATCTTAAAACACTATAAATCATAAAGTGGCCATGTATATCTCTGCACACATGAAGAAGAGAGGAAGTAAACAGTTGCTTCTGAATAGTGTAAAATAGATGTTAGTTTTAAAGTTCAAATAGGTGGTGGTGGAAACGGCACACATACACACACACACACACACAAACACACCAATTTTATATGTGTATATATATATGTATATATATATATATTAGAACTTTACTCTAGTGACCTCAATAGTTCAACAAACTGTGTCCCTTTCACTTTGCAAAATACATTTTCACTGATCACAATACCCAATTCTTGTTAAGAAACACGAGAATTGGATTATACATATTATCTTCCTTCTTGGAGTTAGACACATTTTCAGAGAAATTACAAATGCCTCTAAAACATGTTTTCCAACTCACAAATGTGTTTACATTTACAAAGACTTCTTGTAGGAATTAATTTGGACTCTTTTGGATGTAGTGTTTCTGAAAACTGCATAGCCAAGTGCTATGCAACCAATGTGGACTGACCTTGCTATTTTACATAGCATAGCCTCTGGATAACTTTTATCACTTGCCCAGATTGCGTTTGGCCTATGTATTTTAGTGGAATGCTTTATTTTCTCCATGATAGGTTTCAAATGCACAAGAAAACATTATACCCGTCTATCTGCATTTGAGTAGAATACAAACTGACTAATAGATAAACATTCAGTGTGAAAGTAAATAGCCTTAAAGTATACTGCCTTCACATTCCATTGATCAGCTCAGTCAGCAAAGTTTTCCATATTGTCACTAAATGTTCTAAATATTTTGGTGAGAAGCATGCCAGAAGTGAGTGAAGAGTATTTCCATTTGTGTCACACATAAGGTTATTATGAACTACCTCTTGAATTTCTATTGATCCTTCTGAAGTGGTTTCCTTCACTTCCTTTTTGTCCCATTTGGAAATGTTATTGCAGTTGTGAAGAAGAGAATTAGGGGCTGTTAAGTGAAAGGGCTCAAATCTCTCAGCCAGAAGGGGAAGGGCTTTAGACTGGCTCATTAACTCCTTACCTTCATTAGCAGCCTCCTCCAAATTCTTAGCAAATTCAAAAGGAAACCAAGAGCATGGAGCCCATTACTCAGTTGTACTATCACTGATGGTGCACATTCACTGCGGAGGCTGTGGTCCCATCCCCCACGCCATGCTCCAGAAGAGAGAGTCGGAAAAGAGCTCATTATTAGGCTAGTCCATAGAGGAGCTCATAATGCTGTCACGGTGAATCAAAGAATCACAGGAGAGCTCTATCTACCCAAAGGTCAGCCTTATCTCCCCCATCAGATCTTCATTTCTTCATCATGCCCAATTTCTTATGAAATCAAATCCTAGAATTCAGGAGGCTACGTAAAATTCGCGCAGGAATTCAGCTTCTGCCTAAATACATGGATTTTTTTGACCACTGATATCTCAA